CACACGGGCGACGAGTTCCAGCACCCGAAGCCAGGTGGCCCGCCCCTCTACCGGTACGCCGCTGCTGTGGAATGCAACCCTCAGTTCTCGCCCTCTGTCCCAACCGCGCAACCTCTGCACGGAGAGGAGGACAACGATGACGACCCTAATGAGGCCGCCGCTGGATCTCAAGGCGGTCAGCAGCAACCCGAAGCAGCAGCACACCGGCCCCGGGCCGTCCCACAGACGCATAGCTGCATACTTGAGGGCTTCCGGGTTTACCGATCCCTGGCTAAGACGGTCTTCTTGCTGGAGAAGCAGCAGCGCCAGGACAGCAGCCCCTCTGGTCGTCGCCTGACAGAGTATGCCTCTATGTTCGGCGGTGAGCCAGCCACCGAGCAGCGCATAGCCGAGATGGTCGACGACCTTAACAGCCGCGCCATCGTCGACTTGGCCGACCTGGCACACCTCGAGCCGCGCGTCGTGCTGCAGAGGAACGAACCACGCCACACACTCAATACCCGGCTCATCATGCTGGAGGCACAGCGCAAGAATCAGCGCCTTGTGGTGTGGAATGTGGACCACGTCCCTGTCCAGAAGCGTGGTGCTGCTGCGGAACCGGCCCTGACACACGTGGAGAAAGCAGTTGCGATGCGGATCAAGGATCACGAGTTTGGCCACACCACCGCCGACACGTGGTACTACCATGGCGCCCGATACATCCTCCTTGATACAACTGCTGCCGATGCCGGAGCGAGCCACAACAACGAGGTGGAAGCCTGCGGCCTGCTTGAGGATGGCCGCGAGCCAGCAGATGACAGCCGTGGCCCCTATCGCCGGCTCAAGTACCTTCCAGCGGCCGTCATTGTGCGGCCTATAAGCGGCCACATCCCCGGCACCGTGCTGCAGGGCCTTGCAGACTACGCCAGCAGGGGTGGTGCCTTCATCCTGTCACCCCGGGCATCTTGCATTGCCGAGGTCGACATGCCTGCCGCCGGGTACGGCACCATCACAAAGCAGATCCGGCGCCTCAACGTACCGCTCGGCGACCGCCAGGCGGTCACCGATTACTTCGTGCAAGGCCGCAGCTTCAAAGACGAGTGCTGGCTGGTGGATCTCGCTGTCCCACCCAACGGCATCAAGCGCGCCACCCTGTATGTGCTGCTGACCCGCTTCAAGATGCTGGACCACGTCCGTCTGCTCCGGCCGCTCTACACTACACCGCACGAGCGCAAGAGGATAATCAAGCAGTTCCTCAGCATGACTAACCTCGAGCCGGACCTGGCCGCCAACCTGCGCCTGCTGAAGCAGGCAGCGCGCGACACGGAGCACCGATATACGGCCGAGTTCCAGCATGCGCGACAGCTGGAAGCGTGCTGGACCCCCTCGGCCCAGAGCTAGTTGAGTTGAGTCGAGTTGAATTGAGTTGAAACCGCGACCCGCCACTGTACGGCGTTAAATGACAGCGTCCGGGGTAAGGGGGACACCCCGGACGACACGCTCGCTCCCTACGGGAAGGAATGGGGAGCCGCCCACCAATGTGTGGAGCCCCCTGCGGGTTCGACTCCCGCGCGAGCGCTTCACAGGATATAGATTCGCGTGCTAGACTCCGCAAGCTCATTTTTCTTACGCCATAATTTACTTCTTGTGTGTAAGCTAGAGCGCGCG